GAGAGAGAGAGAGAGAGAGAGGAGAGAGAGAGGAGAGAGAGAGAGAGAGAGAGAGAGAGAGAGAGAGAGAGAGAGAGAGAGAGAGGGCGAGGGGGAGACAGAAATGTATATATATATATATATATATATATATATATATATATATATATATATGTATATGTATATATATATGTATATATATATGTATATATATATATGTATATATATATATATATATATATATATATATATATATATATATATATATATATATATATATATATATATCAAACTGCAAAGCTCTTCTAGTGATAAGCAGAGGTACGTCTCAAGAAAAAGGCGGCTTTACGCGGAACGCAACCAACCTCCACCCACTGGGTCAAGGACGAGGACACAAAACATTGACGTCACTCTAAACCCTTAACCTAGCAGTCGGGACAGGACAGAAACAGTCCCAATTAATGACATCACACTGCGCGGCCACCGCCAACGGGGACAAAAAGCCACAATGACGTCACGATCTGACGTTAGAATGCAATTCCCCCACCGGATCGGACCAGCCACGTTACCTGTGCCCTCCCACATGCTTATCAACATGCCACCGAAGCCCATTGCCGTGTTGCCCATGATACAGGCGCCTATCTTCTGGTTCAGCTGCATTGTCTGGTATTGCAGGTACAGAAAGTCGTACGGAATGAAGAGCACGAAGAAGAGCACGCCGGCCGCAGTGGCCGCACTGTTCGCTGTGGGAGCGGGCGGTTAACGGTGACGTCACGAGTGACGTCACGTCGGGCAGTAACGTCACTGGGCACCCTGGTCGGGATTCGGTGGGAATATGCACGAGTCGTTAAGGTGGATGATGGCTGTGGACTCATGTAGCGCAGGAGTCAGGTGCGGGCGTTTTCATGCTCTAGTCGAAATCGACGTCATAAAGCTGCCCCGCCGCTTGATTCGTACCTCACGCCCTCTTTCCCACTAGCTCACGCCCTCTGTCTGACTAAACCCCATACCATTCGCTCAACATGTGGGCTCGATAGTTTTGTCAATCGCTTGGGGCTGTTGATCACAATGCACGATTATCGAAATTTAGCAGTGGGAGACGACTGTTCTTTACCAACCTATTTTTGCAAACTCGTGAGGTTTTATGAATTCTGGATCATTATACTTCCAGGAAAATTTGTTGTCGATGGCCCTGTTTTGGGTGCATAAATTGTGTCGTCCAATGGGGAGACGGTGGATATTTCATTAGCCCATCTCTTGCCGTATTGCGCCACAATTCGCTTCTTACTGTACCACAACGATAATTGAGCTTGAACGCGTAGTTGTTGAAGACAACAAGGGTATATTCTCCGTAAATATAACTTTATACATTGAGAGCACCATCAAATCATACTGGGCTCCTGTCGTCAGCTAGCGGATTTCACCACGTCTCAGTTCCTGTCCCAGTGTCTAATCTAGACGCCAGAGAGGCACCAAAACCAGCACTCACATGCATAAATCGCCGTGCTCAGAATAGTGTCAACGTTGGTATCTGGACTCGGACATTTCAATACATAAATGGACTCACTAGATCTGGATAACTAACCATACACTGTGGGCTTGATACACTAATATCAACAGGCATCAACTGCCACACACAATACTGATGTGCGACCGTACTGCGGAATGACCTCTACTGATTGGATGCAGGGGGCAATACCGGGGTCATAAGGTCGCTTCGAGCCTCCAGGTCGCCGCTATTGGTGTGCACACGCCATGAGGTGCGTCGCCAGCGTTTTCCTTGTTTCGGCGCGTCTAGAAAGCAATTAACTAGATCATGTTTGGTCAGCCGCGATGCAAAAAATGCAACTACCACTCGGGTAGATCAATGCATTTGTTCACAATAAAAGGACGCTCTGTGCTGTGTATTTCATAGCGCATCATATAGATGTCCAGCTGTTTGACCATATTGGAGTCACAATGTCAGGTGCGTTTCCGCACGTCAAACACGTGCTACAGCTTATGGATTTAAAGCCCTGTATACACTTGCCTATCAGTAACGTAGCCTCATGGCACAAGCCACAGCCACCGAGTTTCTTCTCTTGTCAAGTCGCTCCCGTGAAAGTTTAGAGGAAACCTTCCATCCCGCCGGGAACAACTGTCTGCGGCGTGGAGCTCAGCCCATCTCCGGCTGATGCTCCATGGCGACACACAGTAGCTGATCAAGGCATTGATACATCGACAGAGGCCGGTGAGCGTAACAGGCAGGGTCGTTCGATCACAGGGCTTGCCTGACGGCGGGAGCGTAATTAGCTGCCTTTATCTTGCGGGAGCTGGTCCACTGATCCGCCACTGGTTCACGAAATGTTATCCTACATCTATTTATTTAAAAAAACACGTAACAGTAGCAATGCGTGACAGTGCATAATCAGACACTGTGACGCGTCTCTGATGAAGAGTTCTTCTAAGGTATCGCCCAGCCTCCCGCGCAGGGCGGGGAGGGGGGGGGGGGAGGGTTGAAACACAACGACTGTAGACTCCAAACCACTTGCGATTGATTCATGAAGATTGTTCGCCTCATCTCAACATGTCTCTTACACCTAAAGAGATTTCTGGCCTCTGCACATTTTGACAGAACAGCCTCAGCCCCCTCTGTTCATCCACACGATCCAAGCCAAGCATCTGAGCACTCACCTTTGGAGAACCAGGTGGAGATCATGAAGCAGAAGGCGATGGAGGTGATGGTGTACAGCAAGAGGAAGACGAAGATGACGGACGGGTCAGAGCGGGATAGCACGGCCTCTCCCTCTGGCCCCCTGTACCTGAGGACGCACGCGTTACGACGCTCAGCTGGCGCAGCGCAGGAACGCTGTAGGGAGAACGCCGGTTTTCGCTTGGCAAACCCGAGATCGATTCCAGACAGCAGCTGAGTGCTGAGTGCTGAGTGCTGAGTGCTGAGTGCTTAGTGCCTCTGAGTGCTCATGTGACCAGCTCAGTCGATGCACTACATACAGCGTCACGTGATGGTACATGCCGTGTACCGTACTCAAGTGCTGGGCAATTGGCTGCTATTAAAGAGCATGCTCCACATTTGAAGATGTCGAAGTGCGCGTCAGGTATGAAATTAGCTCACTTAGGACTATTGGTGTACTTTTTAAGTGCAAAAGGCTGCTCTAGACAGCACAGCTTTTCTTCATGGTAAATATGCTTCTCAATACGTCACTGTTTGGTAACGTCATCATATTTTTGCACAATGTTGACCTAGAGCCAATTGACGGGCGCTACATCGGGAAATCCTGCTCACGAACGTCGAATGTGAGCGACTCGATGATCACATTATTTCTTGGCCGCAATTGCTGGACGGTCTATACAATGACAGGATTTCATTGACGATATTATGGCGTCACCAAACGCTGCATGACCTTGAAGTAGTCTCCCCGAAATAATGTGCACATCCTTGCGGGCGTCTAGCTCAGAAACTAAAAGGGCTTAGGCCTTAAGAAGGAAAGGGCTGTGAACTGCACCCGATGACCGTCAATATGACTATTTCAGTTCAAAATCCCATACAAATGGGGAACACTCCCTTTAATGTCTCCCTTCGGGCCACTATACATGCAATGACCGGCATGGCTGTAGAAGTGAGGGTAACACACCGCGAAATATTGTGTTAAGTGTTTTCCACAAGTATATATATATATATATATATATATATATATATATATATATGTAACTATATGTAACTATAAATATATAGTCACATATACTGTTACATACGTAATAATATATAATACATGACATGCTACGTGCAGAGATGGTGATGGCGCTGATGGAGTGTAACAGAGGCGAAGCACGGGGGAGATTTTGGGATAGAGCAGCGTAACGATCTTGCATGATTCCAATCGTATTGAGCTCAAATGTGATGGCATCACAACCAGTGGGTAACCAGGGAAAATGATTGAATTGGCTAGAATGCACAATGCAATTCATGGACAACCCCCGTACACATTCGGAGCCAATCAGAGCAGCAATTTTCCGTGGCATGCCTAAGTAGTAGCTTTTGGGGTCACGGCGTTCTGGGTGGTTTGACCTCCTGGGGCCAAAAGGCCGCTTAATAACCTGGCCCGGGACATAAAATCTGATCCAAGCCTAAAACGTTCCTTCAACTAAAAAGCAGCCCCCTCTAGTGATCACCGAGGGTTGATCTAGACCAGTGGTAGCCCTCTTGGCCGAAAAAAGCCACGCGTGGCCAGGCTTACCCCCCTTTCAGGCAAAACTCTGGCTACGCCACCGGCGGTTTGTTTACTTGATTGTGCTATGCTGGCCGAGGACGTCCACAGTTCACTTCGAAACCCCAGCTAGATGCGACAAAAGAAACACACCGCTGAAATCAAAGCCAGGCCCGGGTGGGTCTATTCTGCTTCATGTTCTGACATCCGGGCTATACCTCAAGGCCGGCTACGCAATGCTTGATTCGTCGCCTGCGTGCTGACGGCAAAGAGCTGGATGGCCGGCGCTAAATGCCGTGACAGAAGGACACTGCACTGCAATGACAGCTAGCCAGTGAAAAGAGCGCCGAACTAACGATCACTGTGTCGGGAGTCGGCAGCAGTGTACCCTTTTCTTTCACCGCGCGAAAGGTACGAGAGAATAGACAGAACGGGTTTTGCCTCATCGCCAATAGCGGCTTGCTTTGAAATCGCACTCCAGGGCTTCGCGGAAAGCGCACCCATCTCTGTCCGTTCAGTTTTTACGAGGACTCACCAGTCAACCACAACAAGCAGGGTCATCAACCCGATGGAGATTACGAGCTGGACGAAGGACTTGGCCCACCACGCCATCCAGTGGATCCAGTTGGGTAGTCCCATCATTTTCATCGATTCCTGTAACATATGCGGCGTACAGTTCCATTATTCTGGTTATCGCACCACGACAAGCTTTGCACTTAGTAAAGGAACTATTCTATCGATAGTGCAGAAAAATGTATAGCCGCAAGGGCGATTTGCAACGCTAAAAGAGGAACACCATCACAGCATGGAGACGGATCAATACCGCTAACTAGCCGGCAACAGCGCACGTTACCAACCACGTCCTATGCAATTTTAGACACCATTGTTACTCCACACCCCGCATAAGAAGCTTGATCACGCTACAGTGATTACGGGCTATCAGCCCTGTTTCCAGCACTGCTAGGTCGCGCCCGGCAATTTCTAGGCACGTGGCTGAGAGCCTATACAGCTGACAAGGGTGATCATTGGATAGTAGAAAGTTCGTATGCTGTCATTCTCAGCATTTTTTTTCTTACATACCGTCTCCGTCTGCATGTCATAACGTCTTTTTTTTCTTTTTTTTCTACGCCGTTACCCAAGAACAGGTAACCAGGAGTGCCCCTCCCTCAATCCCAGCCACGCAGTAAACCGTACGTTAACACCAGAAAACATAAAATCAAGTCGCGGCACTCCCAGCTAGGAAGATGAAACAAACTTAAAAAAAGGCGAGGAGGTGGAGCAGACCCGAAGGAATTGTGTTATGTGAAAGGTAGGGAAAAATCATAGATGAAAAGGCTTAAAGTAGTCATTAACCAAAATCAGCTAATGACAGCCCGCTACAACCGCCCAATAATCTACAACCACTCAATTCCCCGTGTTAGTAAGGGTTATACAGTCACAAGTCGGAGGGGGCAATTACCTGGTCATTGTTGTGCTGGGTTTTGGGCTGGATTTCCAGGGAGTCCACCCAGCTAAGCAGAGCTTGTTGCTGGGAGAACTCACAAAGCCAGCGCCATGAATTTGGGTATATGTGCATGACTATATCAGAAATTGGTTATGAAACATGAAGGAGGTCAAATATGAAGTGCGTAGGATATATACAGCACAAGGATGGCAATGTCTTCAAATATGTTTGTTACGTTAATATGTGTTCAGGAAATGCTTGCGGATGATGTTCTTAACGATGGTTTTCGATGCAGGGATATCAGCTATTCTTGGAAAATATGGAACCATAATGTCGTTCCACAGCTTAGGGCCAAGGCAGGATGCTGTAAATAGTCTGTAATTACGATAAGAGAAAGGTTGATCTAAGTGTTTTGCTCGCCTCATATCCATGTCATTGGATTCGTAGAGATTGTAAATTAAATCGAATGATGCAGGGAGCTGTGAAGTTAAAAATTTGTGCATCACAATTAACATTTGAGATTTAGCAATATCCGAGAGTTTCAAAATATTGTATCGTTTAAAGATTGGCTCTGAGCTTTGCGGAGGATACACATTTTCTATAAGACGCACAGCCCTTTTTTGCAAAATTACCAATCGATCTAGTTGAGAAGCATAATTTATGCCCCAAACCAAGCAGCAGTAATTTAGGTAAGGAAGAATCAAAGTGTTATAGAGTAGATGTGACGTTGTTTTATCAATAAAGTACCTAACCCTACTTATTATTCCAATATTCTTACTTACTATGCCTACGACAAAATTAGTGTGGCTTGTAAACTTAAGAGATTTGTCAATGATTACACCAAGGTATTTAATTTCTTTTTTCTCTTCAATAGGTGAATTATTAATTTGCACATTAAGTCGGAAATGCGAAGAAAGGGTTGTGCAATGCTGTGTGAATGTTTTTGATACGTTCAGGGAGAGAAAATTAGCAGCGAACCAAGAAGTCATTAGAAGCAAAAGCGTACTGACATTGTTTTGAAGTTCGACAATACTTTTATTTTTGAAAACAACCGCAGTATCATCAGCATAAGACAGACAAATCATGTTACTGCTTAATTTAGGTAGGTCATTTATGTACATTAAAAAGAGGATTGGGCCGAGAATGGATCCTTGGGGTACCCCCATTGTTACGTTTTTGATTGTTGATAGATCATTCCTGATTTTTACACATTGAGTTCTGCCAAACAAATATGAAGAAATGATTTCATGAGATTTTCGTCGAATACCATATTTAGTAAGTTTACGTAGAAGGAGGCTAATGTTTACAGTGTCAAAGGCTTTTTTCAGATCTAAATACAAACCTAACACATATTCCCCATTTTCAAAAGCCTTTGTAATAGTTTCTTGCAGAAGAAGAATTGGCATGTAAGTACTTTTGTTCTTCTGAAATCCGAACTGATTTTGGTGAACTAGCTGGTTTTGGTTTAGGTGAAGGACGAGTCTATTATATATAAGTTTTTCAAGAATTTTGGACATAAACGGCGAAATACTGATAGGTCTGTAATTATCTACAAGTTGCGAGTCCCCACTCTTAAAGATGGGTTTAATCACGGCTTTTTTGAAAATGCTTGGAAATATCCCCGAGGACAAACAGCTGTTGAAAAGATGGAGAATTGGTTTGAGTATAACCTTATAAGATAACTTGAATATTTTTGAATTAATATTGTCGACTCCAGCTCCGACGTTGTTTAGCCCATCGATGAGAAGAATTAATTCCTGTTCATTAGTGGGGGGGGGGGGGGCAGATCCATTTCATTTTCGACATTTGTGATGAGCTGGAGGGGGTCGAAAGATGATTTAGGCATCTCGTCTTTTAACTGTTGTCCAATCTCGCTGAAGAAGAGGTTAAATGATTCTGCGATATCCGGATCGTCTGTGATAATTGTATTATTAGTACCAATAATCCTGGTTGGATCTGCATCCTTTTTTTGTTTTGAATTGATGAGAGTGTGTAATGTTTTCCATGTTTCCTTGGAATTCCCAGAATACTTACAGAATTCATTACTGTAGTATTTCTTTTTGGCTAGCCTAAGAGATGTAGTTAGAATGTTGCGGTAGCAAGTGTATGTTGCAATATTTTGGGGACTGAGGTTCTTCAATTTCTGTTCAAATAACTTGCTTTTACATGTAATTGATAGAAGAAGTGCAGGTGACACCCATGGTTTGCGTGAGCTGGTCTTTCTAGAAATGTGCCTTGTGTGAGAAAACCTGGTGATCCCAGCATTGTAAATATACACAATTTGATTTGCAACTAGCATCAGGTTCTGGGTCATTTTCAATATCAACCAGATGGTCTTCGTCTCTATGATTTACTGTTCCCGTCTCCACGACATGCCGTCTCTTTTGAGATCAATTGATGCTAAAGGGAGACTTACCCCAGGACCAGAAGGATGTGAGCTTCATCACACACCTATGTCTACACACACACACACACACACACACACACACACACACACACACACACACACACACACACACACACACACCACACACACACACGCACACACACAACTATATATATATATACATATATATATATATATATATATATATATATAATAAAAGAGGAACATACATATATATATATATATATATATATATATATATATATATAATTAACATGTGTGGGCATTTGTTCTCGCCCCCTGCAGCGCACAGGACTAGCTATACTATAGTGCTCTTTTCACCTCCTTGCTTTTTATTTTGAGGTCTAAAAGAGCCCCAGCTATACCCGGCCAATTTTTCGGGATTTTTGAAGCTGGCATTTATTCGCGGTTTTTCTCCCCCACCTCCACCCCAAAGTACAACGCACGGTACCCGCCCGATCATCAGCAGCACGAATCCACACCCGCCACTCAGCGCGGTCTCCGATCTTTAGCATGTAATCCCGCCATCGGCGGCAGCTTCCGCACCCCCGTCAGCACCATATGCAGCACAAACTTCCAAAACGTCATCCGAAATATGCATGCAAGCTACATACTTCTGCGGCCCAGTTAAAATGCTCGGGGCAGGAATAAATATGCACATGCGTTTCAGCACCATGCACAGGATCTTCAGCCCATCTTCAAGGCCCTCCCCCCCCCCCCACCCACCAACTTCCGGTACCGCCTACTCAAAGTCATATTCAACATTACCTTCCACACCACACTGATCACCCCTACGGACAGCACCCTCAATGCCACTTTCAGAGCCCTATCCATCATTTACTCTCGCCCTCGGCATCACTTACAGCACTCTCAGCGCCACCTTCAACACCGCCTACGAAACCATCTTCAGAAGCACTTTCAGCACGTCGAACATCATTTTTAGAACCATCTACCTCAGTTTCAGCGTCATTTTCGCGACTCCTAAACCAGCTTCAGAATCATCTCACTCACCTTCAGGCGGCGCTCCTTCTCGACCACGATGTTCTTGACGATGTTGATGGAAGGATAGATGAAGCTGAGCATGATGACCAGCGGCAGCCAGCCCTGCAGCACCACCAGGAACTGGTCGTCGTTGTAGCTGGGGTAAGGCACGCGCTCGGCATTCACCGCAAACGTCACCTCCTGGCCCGAGATGTGCTCGGTGATGGCCGCCGACACAGCGTGCTGCATCGCCAGAAAGCCGTTGATGAAGTAACCTGGCAGAGGTCAGACGGCCGTCAGTAATGTGCTGCATGCCGGCGTCGTCCTCATCACATCGCCATCATTGCCAGGGACGCTCGGTGTCTGCCGGCATTTGCTCATTCATTCATTCTTTCTTTCTTTCTGCTTCGCAGCCAGACCGAGGTGACGGCACTGCCGCTGCACCGCTGGTGACGTCACCGTCACTGCACCGTGACGCTGGTGGCACCACTGCAGCTGCGTTGGAACGCTGAGGCGGCGTCGCAGTGAGCTACTGGGCTGAAACCGAAGCGCATAAAGCAGCAGCCACTCAGCTGGCACGCCATTGGTTGCATGCGCTTGGATGCCGTTGATGGCTATTAAGCGTGCTGGTGTTTTCCCCTGCCTCTAGCATCAGCCCAAGCCATTCCGCCAAGTGCGCTTCGTTTGACCTCATGACTTCCGCAACAACCACGTGATCAATTCCAGTTAAGTACCATCAGCTCATTGCAATGAACTCGGGCAGCCTAATACGAAAACTATCATGCCATACAATGCGGGCGATCTTTTTAACGCTTGCAATATACTGCAATATATAATACATCACTACCATATGTATATATATATATATAATGCAAGGCGACACAGGTCGGCACCGTACCCGGGTTTCCACCGACAGGGGCTGACTTCTCCCTGGGCCCGAGCATTTGGAAGGCTGGGTACTGCAGGCTGGTGTACCAGAGGGCCGGCGGCTTGAACGCCTGCACCACCGATTGCACATGCGGCCGCACCTTAAACTGGCGACACAAGGATACCTCAACGTGAGGTCAGCACACCACCGAACCCGCCCACCACGCCTCGGTGACATCGTACTATCAGAATTACCAGGTAGGCCCAGCCCGAGACGTCCACTTCACATCTGTGCCAGGGAGGCCCAGCCCGAGACGTCCACTTTACATCTGTGCCAGGGAGGCCCAGCCCGTACCGTCCCGCTTCACATCTGTGCCGCGTCAGGCCGTCGGGAATGTGTGGCGATGGGCAGTGGCCGGGCCTCCTGAGGTATTCCAGCTGTGTGGTGGGGAGACAGATGCACGCTCTTCTCGAACAGTGGAAAGGAATGCGCCGTGCCATGGGGCAACTGCCGAGGGCTGCTTTTTAGAAGATCTCACGAATGGAAACACACGAAAAGTGGGAGGGCTCAACACCACCACAACTGAAGCCAGTACTTCAGACGTCGTGTTTCGGCGTGGTGGCTCTTGGCCACGAATGGCAACAGGCTAACGTGACGAGATGGAAGGGAAACCAGTTGGAGTTTTCCCACACCGTTTCCCATCCACCGGTCATTCGTCTCCGGACAGCATTGACGTTCTGACAGTGACGCAAGCCGGTCACTGTCACCGGATATCGACTTGGTATCGGTGGTTGCACTGAACTCAAAGTTGCATCGCGCGGGGCTCCGACGGACGTTCTACTTTTACATACACATCCTGCAGAGGCTTGTGACCATGTAAACTTCATACTGTGATCTGAGCGCCGGCATTCGCGAAAATACTTTTTTGCACAGCCTGTGCACATGACACAGGCGGCCTGCAAGAAAGGTCGTGGAAAATGTGTCCTGATCCTCATTTCGATTCATATTTCCTAGCGCGCGCTGTGTTGGCATGGCGACGAGAAAGGTGTCTGTCTCACTGAGATCCGGCTGCCAAAGTCGGAGGTCATGTCGTCTTGGAAGACTATGCCTCCAATTCTACGTTTTTGTGCTAACGGCGTGCTGCTTTCCTCCAGCCAGTCAACCAGCTCAGACTCGCTGCTGAAGCCTGAAAAGAAGCGGGAAAAGTTAGCGCAGGGGGTTACAAATCGTATGGTATCAGGGAGTCATAAACGATATCGTATACAATTACGTGAAGTACGTGACCGCTTCGCGACCGCCGGCAAAGTCCCAAGGTGGGTTTAAAATGACGTCTCTAACATTTTACAACAAAGTGGATAGTACTTCACCGACAGCTTTGCAATACATAGGGCATGATGCAGTGGGGATGCCATCACACAAAGCCAAACAGGTTTGAGTTTACAACATCGCCTTGGCAAGCTAGTATCTCCGGAATTCAGAAAGCATGTCTGATAACATCAAAAGGCCGGCGCCTATCCAAGCAGCATCCAATTTCAAAATATTGTCTCGGTCACACTGCTCGAGAGATGGTTCAGTCTCCAACGCGTCGTGAGATGGAGGATGTCCGCCTGGCTGCTGTCATGTGACAGTGAATGTATTCTACCTCCCTCCAAACCACGGCGGCTGCGGGTCACTCCCACGCCTTTGAAGTTAGCAGGAAAATATCCTATCAACGCGCTTAAATCGCTCCCGTGCAATTTGATTGGGTGCTGACATCCAGAGGCAAAACCATACATGTTCATCTTGGGTCATTTTGAGTGTTTGAAGTCACTTAATTCGTCTTCTTATGCCGAGTTCGGCTGTTTTAAGCCATTGGCTGAAATTTTCACAAACTTGTAACATGTTCTTTAGCTAAAACCGTGTGAAAATTTCAACTAATGGTTTAAATGAACTAATTCAGTTTAAGAAGATCTGCCACATGACATCAACAACGCAACACGGCCAAAAATACACATACAGGGTTTTGCCTTCGGGCGATAGAGCTGTACACATATGTCGACATGGTTGGTTGATATGCCATCTTTGATTCTGGGCTACGATAACTGTCTTTTTTATTTTGTAGTAAGTTTTGACCATGACATAGGACTGTTGCAAGCGGGTGCCAGCCTGACAATACGATCATTATGGCGGCCTTTTAGTTCATAGCTTCACGTCCGAAGATATCAATATTTGTCCTGTTCTTAGAACTGCTTCTTGAAGTAAGGTTCATCCACCGCAAACGGTCACCTCGCACATTCGTCAGCTACTTACATCCTGCCTAAATATATACAGAAATGTTACTCCATGCGTCGATCAAGGCCTCACATATCACAAATAGAGCACGAAACATGACAATTTTTCATCAGGATCAATTCATTGCTGCTTTTTATCTGGCCCAGCACGTGGCAAAGTCAAACCCGGTATACAACCGCTAGTGCCAATTTCTGTGAAAAGTATGACGAAATTTTCCAAACGTGCTTGCTTACAATTGGTAAAACCCTCCGAAGGCAGCCAGTAAGTGATTCACAGAGACGTGCATCTCGTTGTTCAGCTGTTCCCATCCGTAACAGCAGTACACGCACAAAAGCCACGACAAGCGATATTTGGTCAAGGTACAAGATAGTGTGATTTGATTCGTATCAATGTCAGTGCCTCTCGTTGCTTGTGGGCCAACGGACGCCGATATGGAGGCGATAAGCCCAAGTATCGACCGCGCCTGCCGCGTCACTGTCGCGAAAGCGGTCCGCGCAAAGCAAAGCTCAGGGGCAGGGCGATGAACGCAAAACCTATCGTTCATGCGCCTTATCCGATAAACGTGGCTATCTAACTATGGACATGGAACGAGGCAGCGGCTGTTCACTGGTTCCATGTACATACATGTCAAGGAAGTCCCTCTGCACGTCCTAGAATTTTGCGTAGTTTGCTTCAGAAGAGTCATTTTTCTATTTAAAAACTGGTATGGAACGCGTTTTTTACATGAAAATAAAACATTGTTACGAAAACGAAGCACAAAAATAATACGAAGGCACTACTTAAAAAACAAAACATTTGAATCTTGGGGTTACTGCAATCGGCACTCGAGAGCTTGTCACTGCAAGCAGCTCAGTGGACCAGCTCGAGAGCACATCTCCCGTCTGAACAGTGGAGCTCCTCGAATATTCCCGGATGCCCAGCCTCCTCAGGCTCCAGCACCCGCTGCCGACGTTGCGGCACCTACCCTGGACCCTGACGTTGGGGCTTAGCCTCCGCTCGAAAATGCTCATGACGCTGTCGGCCAGGGTCGCGTTGGGAGTGTAGCCGACATGCATGATCTTGCCGTCGGACGAGTACGCTCCAGAAGCCATTTCCAGCAGCGCGCTACGGCCGATCCCCTCCACCTGCTCGCGAAGGCTGTCGGGCACGCCGTCCGGGAAGACCTGACGCGTCGCTTTCACAATCTCCAGCGGGTCCAGTAGGCTGGTGTTGTGTCTGTGGGCCGGAGAGCGCGTCACGGGAGTGCGAGACGGTGTGCGGCAGGGCGAGTGTCCGCGGAGCGCGCCACGGAGAGGGAGTGTGCGCGGAGCGCGCCACGGCAAAGGGAGTGTCCGCAGAGCGCGCCACGGCAGGGGAGTGTCCGCAGAGCGCGCCACGGCAGAGGGAGTGTCCGCGAAGCGCGCCACGGCAGAGGAGAGTCCGCGGAGCGCACCACGGCAGGGAAGTGTGCGCGGAGCGCGCCACAGCAGGGGAGTGTCCGCGGAGCGCGCCACGGCAGGGGAAAGTCCGCGGAGCGCCACGGCAGGGGAGTGTCCGCGAAGCGCGCCAAAAGAGCTCGTCAGGGAGGTGGTCAAAGGGAGTACTAGTGCTTACTGCACGTTGAACCATGCTAAGGTTGTGATATTACAAAATATATCATGGTGGGCTATGACCTAATTATGTTGTAAGGCAGACCTTGAACTTACGTCATGTTGTAGGGCAGACGTTGAACTTACGTCATGTTGTAGGGCAGGCCTTGAACTTACGTCATGTTGTAGGGCAGCTTGTCCACTGAATACGGCTGGTACAGAGTTGGATCCGGGTAGTTAGTGGCGTCCGTCAGCGATCGAATAAGCACCAGCAAGGAGGTGAATATTAGCGGCAGCAGCAGCTCCATCACTGTTTGCACCTTGTGCCGCTTCTGCAGTGTCCAGTTCTTCCACATCAGCAGCCGAAACTTGGCCCACGATGATTGCGGTCGCCCCATGATGGCTTAAGTTGGATGGGCAGCGATAGATGGCAGCAGTGTCCAGCCGACCCGGTCGGCGTCGCTGTGGAATGGAACGCGGGTTACAAGATGAATAAACGGACGGTTCATTAGACATTTTATTTTATATAGCGTTCAGGTCACGAAAGAAGTCTGAACCTGATGCATCGCACCACTTGTGGTTAACGTCAACCAATCACACAAAGCATAAATTGAACATTAGTTGACCTGCACATCTGTGGATGCACGCAACTCAGCTGCGTATGCCCCTGCGAGTCCCTAACAGCCCCACTGCCCCCCCCCCCTTTCCATCTGGACCCCGAACACCCCTCCCGGTTCCGTCCCGGCTGCGTGTGGGGCGCGCGCCCACGCGCGTGTACCGGCGTCCCGTCACCCCACTGCGTCGCGACACACCGCGTCAGCGCGCGCCCGTGACGTCCTTGATAGCCTCCCTCCGCGCAGATAACGCGCGATCGCGACGAAAGTCCGTGGCTGGCGAAACCTCGACACTGCGCCAGCGATCCCGGGGACCCGGGCCGACGCTTGGGCCATGATAAATGCATGCTAGGGCCGGCCATGTCACTGCTGTCACCACGCAAAGGGGAAGACAGCGTGGGTAGCAGGGCTACTCCCTGTTTATTCAATCGATGCGGTGAAAACATAGGAGGAACGCTCTTCACCTGTACAAACAGCAAAAGACTTGGTTGCAGAAGGACATGTGATATTAACCGTAAACGTTTCAGGGACCCCAGCTCAGGTGCAGATTCAAAGGGAAGGGGGAAGGGCACGGTGCTATGGCCCCCTTGGGTCCCGCAGGTGCCCCTAGGCTCCAAGAGGGTCCATAACCGGCCGAACAGACGCAGTTTTTTAACACGAAATGCAACAAAGTTGGACGTTTTTGGGCCTCAGGCGACCAAGAACATTCGCAAACGAAACTGAAGGGCCCACAAGCAAACATAAATCATTTTTCACTGATTAAGAGGGCAGTGATAAATAAAGTTTAAGGTGCTTTACCCTGTCCAAAGGATCGACGCTGCCCTTGACGAAATCGTGGCCACGCTCCTGCTCCAGCTCTAGGACCACAGTGCTTCTTAATTTGATTGCGGCGGAACTAGACTGGATTATATTAAATCCATGACATTCATACATTGCTACGTGATATTTTTGTCCTGGAGTTCCTTCGTCGGACTTTTAGCAAAGCATTTAACAAACTGAAAATTATGTTGATTACGTCTGCATGACACGCATACATAAAAGTGTGCAGGGAAACGTGAACGCAGCCGAGTCCTTGCTGCAGATGACTCGCTGCTGGTCACAACGGTCAATGCGCAAGGTTTTGAAATATATACACCTATCGACCGGTGGTGCTAGTGCCAAACGCTTTCCACCTGGCGGGCAGGGTCTCAGCACGGTTTACATAACCCGTCACCGCAGCTGCTGTTGACCTGGCACCAACTAGGTGTTCGTGAAGGGTGGCTAGGAATGGGAGAGTCTTGCTTCGCCGCGTGGCTTGCTGCCGCGCTGCTTTTTGGTGAGCGCCGCGGTATTCACGTTTGAGTGACCTTGGCGAGAACGTTTTGGCCGGTGCGGTCGATCTCTCACATAAGTCATGAATCTAGTGCAAGCAACGTAAGGTGCTGCATGTAAAACAGCAATAAATGTGTGCGGAATACCGCTACTGGTCGCATGGGGAAAGGCACAATTATAGCTGTGAAATAAATACACGACCGGCTATCGCCTACCGGTTGCTGTTTCACATCCTTTGGTCTGCTTAAATACTGAGCACTAAACAAGGAGTCCGTATCGACCAACAATGCGGGCCTGGTCGATGGCCAGCACCGGGGCAACGGCCCAAAAGCCGTGTGTGAGCCGTTAACAGCCTCTAACCGGTCGGGCTGTTTACTAGGAGAACGCTGTGTCTGCTCCCGGGATCGATCTCCAGCCGGCCTACACAAGTTCAAAGAACACGTCAAGCGTCGCCGTCTGTCAACTGTCATCCACCTTGAGGTTGTCGAAGGACAGTTCTGAGTCCTGACTTCGGCGGGAGGAGCAGTTACGACTATTATTTAACATATATTTCGCGCGCTCGAAACTTATTGGTACACCACACACAACTTACCAAATGCACACTACCACTGGCTGCTACTCACTACTCGCTACACTACTTGGTCTCACCACACGTTAAGCCATATTGTACATAGAAAACCGAATTCTGCTTACTTCCTGGAAAAAATGGCAACTCCATCCCTTCCCGTCACTTAGCAATCACACATGACAGACACCAGTCGATCTGAGCTGCGAGCAATCAAATATCAATGGTACAGAGTTCTCAAAGCACTAAAATCTCATAAAGAGTGCTCGACAAACGAAAAACATCAAGCATAAAACAGCTTTTGCTTAGCGAATAGCGAGGCAATTTCAACTACGAGTCGCTCGCCCTTCCAAGGGGCGGGGTACCACATTCCCCTGGGTTGGGACTCCACATTCCCCTGGGGTCGGGGCACGACATTCCCTGGTGTCGGGCACGACATTCCCTGGTGTCGGGCACGACATTCCCTGGTGTCGGGCACGACATTCCCCTGAGGTCTGACACCACATTCGCCTACTGTCGGGCACCACATTCCCCTGGTGTCGGGCACGACATTCCCTGGTGTCGGGCACGACATTCCCCTGAGGTCTGACACCACATTCGCCTACTGTCGGGCACCACATTCCCCTGGTGTCGGGCACGACATTCCCTGGTGTCGGGCACGACATTCCCCTGAGGTCGGACACCACATTCCCCTGAGGTCTGACACCACATTCGCCTACTGTCGGGCACCACATTCCCCTGGTGTCGGGCACGACATTCCCTGGTGTCGGGCACGACATTCCCCTGAGGTCGGACACCACATTCCCCTGAGGTCTGACACCACATTCGCCTACTGTCGGGCACCACATTCCCCTGCTGTCGGGCACCACATTCCCCTGGGAGGACCTCACCATGGTAGCTGCGGCTTAACTCAGCATTGACTGGTGTAACACACGCTTGGGTGAGGGGTCAATTCAACCCAAAAGGCATTTCCAGGACAATGTCCTAACATCGAGGCGCACCCTCGCCAAGCTTTGAGTGACTGTAGGAGATTGAAAAGTCTATCGTTGACACAAATAATTACATGTACCTAGTAAGGTTTCTGTCCTTTGGCAGCTTAAAGCGAGACCATGGCTGTCAGCGAAGGCGATTCGTAGAGAACCGCTCAATCTGATGCGACGACGGCGGCAGCGGAGTGTTAGATGAATTCGTACACGTTTGAGGTGGCTTGAGGCAATACACAACTGATGTTAGGATCAAAATCAATTTCAGTTACCCTGGGTCAGGTATGAGGGTCAGATTGAGTTCAAGATTAAGCTTTCCTTTCCGCTGGAAAGCTTGGTATAAGTGGAAATTTGTTGCGTGTATTTCGGACTTCTCATTGTGTGGACGTCAACAGGCATCTGACTTGGAATTCACGAAGGCCAGACGAAGTCACTGATCTAAAGCAATCCCAATCAACACTTTATTGTAAGAATCATATTCCTAGCATAATCTTAAAGTTTATCCAAGTAAAAACCAAACCAATTTCGTAGGTTTTCGGTCACAGTGACCTTCTGAAGGTCATCTAAGTTCACCGCACTAAAATGCACATCGTTAAGCTTTTGCTTAGAAGAGGTGTCTAGGTGTTTGGCTGCACGCAGCTGTCTGATGGTGCCTCGGACACCGATCTGCATGTTAGCCTTGCTTGACATAATTTGACCTGATAGGCACGACCTGGTGACCTTAGATTTGACACCAGTGGGTTCACATACAGTTTTATCTATCCCGTGAGTTCGGTAATGGACCATTTCGTGCAAATACTAATGGTCATGCATACTTCGGAGAAAACTGGCATTGATCTTAATTATTAGATTACTTATATAGCCGTTCTTCAGTATAGCAATATTTTCTTAAGGGCAAAGTAACCTCAGAGACGTTCTGGAACGTGGTACATTCACTATATACGCTTAATCTGTTGCATTTCATGGCAAGGGCTCAGTACTTCGAAATCCACTCGCGTCACGCTGATATGGATCGGTCACAAGGCTTTTGATTATGTACATTACATTTAAGACAAGAATCTTCCTGGAAGAGCCGTTTGAAAAATCGTTACAACATACCTAACCTGCGCTGTCTAGAAGCAAAGAAATAGAATCTGCTAAAAAAAAATTGTGAATTTGTCCGTCTACCATATAGAGCATCTAATGCAAACACGTGAGATGAACCATTTTGAAATGCTTTACCGTAGAGCGCAGCGTTTGGTTCAATGTTCCGTAACCGTGCGACTAAGCTCCACCGTTGCAGTGGACTGAGTCAGCTCTTTTCCGCCTGCATTCATAGCCTGGTCGCTTCACACAATCGGCAAATTTATCAACGTTCTGTACCGGCGGCGATTTTAAAAAAGGCTGATAAAACACCGCAAAGGTCAGACATTGGTCACTCGCGACAGCCTTTTAGTGACCACCAAAAATCCCAAGTGAGCCTCATTCTTGTTCCAATGATCAGCCGCGGGGCGCATATCGACTTGTGTAACACAAAGCCCTCAAACACCGCGATAAGACCTCGCCGGCAGACGACGGTGAGTTCACGTGTACGTATACTGATAGCACGTGATGGGAACCGACGTCGGCGCGCTCCGCATCGATACATCACCGCCAAGTCACTAGAGCTCTCAGCGGATGGAATTTTTGGATCTCGTTTCATCGGGTCCGGCTAATCTAGAATCAATTCATCCGCTAAGCCCCTTTTGGTTTTGTTTCTTGTGCCGAACCAGTTTGGTTCGATCTACCAAAAAAAGGATATGGTATGAATTTGTGGGACTTCGCATTAGCATTTCTTCCATAACATAAACGGTAAATGTGGTGCATATGAGTACAGTTAATCTCTCTTATTCATTAATTTTCTTGGGTGAAAATCAGTCGGCATAGCATGAGCGCCAGAATAAGTGGCCAGGCAGCCTAAAAAGAAATAGCATAGTTGAGCGATGCCGTTTCATGAATACCGTTCGCTGCGAGCTGCGCTGAATCAACACCAACATCACACTATGCAAAACAATCTGAAAGGAGATAGGCATCAATGTAGTTGGCCAGAAAACAGCAGCTCTAGCAAGTGTAGGACGGGTCAGGGATTCGAATTTATAACAGCGTTTCGACCGCCGCGACCATTTCGCATATATTATGTCGCGTGTTTTCGCGCCATATGTATCAGCGCATTGCCACGTCGACATGTTTCGCAGATTTTTCCAACCATTCCGTGCGTAGAAATTATCTAATCGCGCCGTGCCACACCAAAGCAAGGCTTGTTTTTACCAATGAAAGCGACGCGCATCGCTTAGTGAAGACCTTAGCAGCTGGGATATTTTGTCATAATATCAGACACCTTGTCTGCGATCGGATTCATGCACAGTCATACGCTTATGTGCCTTTGATGAGGCATGAACCTGGGCCCGAACGGACTAGGACTCGAGCCCTTTCTTACCATTCCTTGCCACTCGCACTCGATGAATCGATTCCGATTCTGAAGATAGATCAGGTTCTGACTTTCATTCAATTTAGAAATACATCACGCTCAGACTCAGGCGTAAAACAAACATGAAATGATTCGTGCATGAAACAATCTGAAAAAACGCAGGAAACAAAGTCGGTATCAAGTTCAGACTTTGTTCACACACACTTGAACTTCAAGCCGAGAGATCCCGGACTAAGTTGTATTTTACCTGCTGGGTTTAACCGCCACTAAAGAGCATTTAAATGGCAAACTGCATGTGTGAAAGAAATGGTTTCAGTTTGGTGTACCGTAGTTCACACGGGTGCGAATCGCCGTCCTTATTGGGCTGGGTTGCGTTGGGTTAGTCCGCCTCGTTTTCCGGTTACGTTCACTTCGTTGTAGTTTGGCTGCGTGAACTAGTTTGGGGCATTTCATCTAAGATCGTGCATCGGCTTCGCACTGAAACTTGTTGTCAGTGCGTGTTGACACATCCATATCCATACCAATGCCACCCTGACAAGTTATCAAGTAAGGCTGCAGGCTGCATTAGGGTAAACCCAGACTGAGTCAAGTGAAAGTTTGGATTCTGCGCCGACTTAACCCTGAACGGTCTTTGGACGATATGTGGCAGTCCAACATCAAACTATTTTCGCCATGTGTGATCCAGTACCAAGCTGATGGGACTCAGGCTTGAGACTTGCATACCCGGACAAAGGCTGGGACTCACTCGCTAAGGACTCTTCGGACTTTTCCCTCCGATTTCTGAATCAGATTCAGATCTAAGGATGGTTGAACTCGGACTTGGACTCATGTCATGCGTTTAGAGAGATTCGGAACTCGAATATAAACACCACAACACTTGAAATCGGGCTTGGGGTTGGGTTTCGGACGAGACCCTGGCATGCTTTTGCCAAAGGCGCTGTGTTACATGATGTTTTGGTCTGGTTTAGTTTCGTTTTTGCAGCTAGTGACTATCCTTCCAGGGCTATAGGATCAAGTAGAGGCATAGATCAGGAGACGGGCAAGGGCAAGACCTCCGCCAGCGAACATTTTCCCGCACAGGGGCTGCGGGTCGTGGGAAACTCTCTTCTACTCGACGTGCCGCGAAGCTTGCACGTGACCGTCGACCGCAGCACGTCCTGGGAGGGGGGGGGGGGGGGCATATTGGAGAGCTTCGAGCCTCTGGGACCGGCGCAGTGAGTGGAGAAGGCAGTGCGGGTTGTATCGCGACGCGCGCCGCGTTAACGCTGCGGGCGGACGCAAGATACCAGCGGCCAAAGGGATACATTTCTTGGAACCTTGACAGTTAACCAGTCAACGTTGCATCGTAGCTCTGCTTAGTCCGAAAGCTTTGGCTTGACCGGGCCTTTTTGCAACCTCCTCGATATGATGCGCTGGACGACCATCACACTGTGGACGGTAGTGATGTGCGGTGGCGTCCGAGAGGCGTTAACAGTGCGCAGACATCTAGCGGCATCCCACCCGGCTGATTGCTCCATTGCAACAGGACAGTGAAACCAATGTATTAGCTGTGTGTGAGATCGCTTGAGGGTTTTGAATGCAATCTTTTACTCAAAATACGTCTCAAAAGACATCTATATCGCGTTTATCTATTGTTGTGGACTCATAATTTTGACTCATGACTTCTCTCCAACCTCTGTTCTATAATTGGCTACAGGCAGGTGCATAAGCGCCAACCACGTTGATGATTGGTGACTGATTACCGCACGAAGATTCACAGTACATCACTGAAGTGATGCGGAATATAATCTTGCGTTTGCAGATGCGCTTTTTCCAACTTTAAGGCATATTTTCCTCTTTTATTGTACGCTGTGTTTTGCATCAATACAGTAAGGTGCGTATTTGGTTGCACTGTTGAGAGCTTCATCCGACATTTTAAAACGTCAACGCAAGCGCGTACTTACTTATTTCTTGCTTTAAACATTTCGCACGTGCCTTTTAGCGTTATGGCTATTTTGCAAATGCGTTTTTCCTATCACGACTAATGAATGATAAGAGTAACTCCGTCATTTGTGCAATGCGTGCTTGGACTTGCTGTACCGTGCTACTGTGACATGAAGCGTGCACAGCGATGCTGATACACCACCTGCTCCGGACAAGCTCGACGTTTGCCTGTATTGCTCCGTGCCACGCCCTGTGTCCCGATCTCTGTCCGTCATCTGCGCGTAGCCCACGTGATTGCACACCACCTCAAACTGAATGACTCCTGCTCTACGCTCGCTGTGCAATCCCAAATGGCGATGACAGCGGAAGGCTGCCCGGGAAACGTCCGGTTTTCTCGCATGTCTCTGTTGGTGTTGTAATGAAGCAAGTTTTCTTTAATACTGGGTTTCGCTCATCGATTGGTACTTAACGTTGTGAGCTGCTTTCGCCACTCAGTAAACAAAACCGACACGTACATTCGAGTCATTGGCTCTGCGACAGACAGACTGGCACATATTGGCCTCAGTTATTTGGGTTTTGGGGTGTTTTGAGCGAAGGTCATTTTGCGTCCAATCTTCGCTAATCAGCTGCACGCCTTCGCCCAAATTTATGCACGCGGGGAATATGCCTCGGATACAAAGTCCTAGGCGTTTCGTTGATATGGGCGTCTCATTTCGCTTATGCGATGAAGATTTGGTACACAAGGACGCGGACAGCATCAGGCAGTAGATGGCCAGAAAGAGCCTGAAAATCTGGTGTTTGGTGTGCTTTTACATAGCCAAGATCGCTTTCCTGCAGTTCAGCTCCTTGACATATACGTCAAAATTAGCCACAACTAGCTATGAACATATAGAAAAAATGAAAAATAGCATGCTTTTTTCGTCGATGTCATGATTCCTCTACATCTTCGCCCTAAAACTAAAAGCCACAGAGGGACAGAGTAAAGAGCAACAGACCTGATTGTAACAAGGAAGCGGACTTGTAATTGTAACGGAACAACGGAAAAGATAAAACCAAAATCACTTCGCGCGGTGCATTTTCTCCAAACGATTTCGTCATTATGCTGCCAACAGAAAGAGCTTCGTCACGTAAAGGAATATCGCACTAACGGACCATGATGGCAATGTCAGCAGCAAACCTGAGCTGAGGCCCCCGGGCCAGCGGTCCACGCCCCTCGCCTGCTCGGAGTCGTGGCAGACCAGGTCGTGCGCATGCGCGGTCGCGGAGTCGCCTACCTGACGGTGCCAGCCCGGACGCCTCCTCGCGCGCCTGCCACCCCGGTTCTAGGTGAGAGGCGACTGTCGGCGGCCGGCCGGCCGGCCAACGGCGGGCCTTGTGACGTCACAGCATCGGCTCGATCAAATAGTGACGTCACTCCCGGCACGACGTGCTGCCATGGCGACATTTGTCAACATCAGGGCCCACTTGTGTGCGTGCAGCAGGTGCTTACGGTGTTGAGAGTAAGCTGGTGAGACATCAAAGATGCGTGGGCCTGCATGTTACATCTGTTGCTTGTTGTTACGTATCGTAGTCAAACAAAATGTGTTCCTTTTCAAAGATACCTGACAGCTGACCGAAGCCAGCAGGACGATTTTGGCAGCGCACAACTGGTTTTTCAGCAGTGCACAACTGGTGCAATCCTAATCGAGGACACGTTGTCATGCTGATGCAGGAGATATGCTGTTGAAATCTTGACCCAGCGGACTTGTCCGGTCTCAACGCTCGCTTCCATTTCGCAGTGAGGACCGTGTGAGCATGTGAGCACGTGACCAAAACACCAGCGTAAGCTTTTCGCTGCTTTGTGAAATCATATATAGTTACGTTGATGCTGAGATTTAAGTCAAGACATTTCAACCGCTTCGTTTTATCGTTCTGTAATACAAAAATGACGTTACATTAGACAATCTGAATTACGTAATATTTCAATTGGGAAATTTGTGGACACTTTGTGTAATGCAAAGGATGAGAAAACATTTGATGAGATGAGATGATGATGATGAGATGATGAGAAAACATTTGATAATTTCACGGGCTCTGGATTGATCCACTGATCGGCATGGGCCAAAGTTAACATTTCTACCAAACTGGATCAGAACCAGGGCAGATTGTCAGATTTCCTAGCTGGTACGGATGGAACGGCTTGAAACCCCCATGAAACAGAAAAAGCCAGCGGAGTCTCGAGATCCGGAATGGGGATGGTATCCCGCGCCTGGCCGAGGGTCTGAGACAACAGGGTCCGGCCGAGGGTCTGAGACAACACGGCCCAGCCGAGGGTATGAGACAACAGGGCCCAGCCGAGGGTCTGAGATAACCGGGCCCGGCCGGGGGAGTCGATTTCCCCCCTGGGATGTCACACTTCCAGACGCCGCACGAGAAAAAAGATGCCGTTTAAAGGTCTCGTCAAATCATGAAGAATGCGCGCCAAATATTCTACCTTTAGTCAAATATGAGGTCAACGGAGGTCATGAAATGTCAAAACCGGCCATTCCGACAGATGCAGTTAAAAACTATGTTAACACGTCAAGATGGATGTTGAAAATACGGAAATAAGCATTAAGACTGTTGGGAATCCAACTCCAACCATTTTTATTCCCCCTCACTGATCAGGTCAGATCAGGTCACCGTTCAAATTTGCTGTAAGAGTACCGTACAAGAACGGTACTTTTCTTCACAAAATACTTCCGGCTAAGTTTCCTTTGCTAGATTCAGCTGTGAAATAAAAGTACTCAAGACACAAGAATACCATTTTAGAGTGATGTGGAGGTCATCTGAACTTAACTCAGGTCAAGTTCATTAGGTATCCAAATGCAAAAATAATGTGTTGACCGGGCCTGAGTGACCAATATAATGCTTTCAGTCAGAAATAGTGCATTGTACATCTAAAGCTCCTCAAAATCGCATAGCTGTTGTCTACATTATGAGCAGTCCATTCGACGCTCGACAGTGCATTTGTAACAACCTGAGAACAGGTACGTTGGTACATGAAATTTGACGTCATCGGATCCACAAGCACGACAAGGAGGTGGTGACGCGTTCCACGCCCGTTCATCTCGCCTCTACAGTACCGGCAATATAGGTCATTGACGTTGGATGGCCTCATATGACCTTGTATGTTCTCACATGACCTATTGTGATCTCATTATGTATAAGAATGATATCACATCATGTTTTCATTTGAGTGGTCAAATTCTACGTGCAAAATTATCCAATAAAAGTGCCTACATTAAGGTCAGCATGCGTTTTGCAAAAGATACCCATAGCGATAGGCCATGACCTGAACCAAGATCATGTGATCTGTGGCCATATGATGGTTGTGCATGTGAGTTAGCACTCTTTTCCCGACACATAAACACCAAATCTAAACAAAATTGCGTAAAAATCTGCATTAGTTACCAAAAGTAGTGAGAACTAATCTGACTTCTGGCCAACAACTTCACATTTTCTGACAAATGTGGAATAAACAAGCTGTAGGTGTCATCATGCCCTATTATTACATTAAGCTTAAGTAACGACAAACGGTTCAAAAAGTCCTATGAGTGGTCAAGGTTTTTCAATGCTGACCTGTTTGCCCTGACCTAAGTCACTGATCTTGGTAAGTTTAAACTTCAAATTTGCACCAAGGATGCCAAATCGATAGATAAACGGGTACTGAAAAGTTCGTACTACTGTAAGTGCTCACTTTTGACCTGTCCTAAAAAAAGCGCAGAGTGGCAGTCAACTTTCCCCACCCCTGGCCGGACGTGAGTTGACTCGGAAAGTCTGTCTAGATGGACAAAAATATCAGCTGCAATACTGAAAACAAGCGACGCAAAGTAAAAAACTCATTAAACTTTTCGCAGTTTTCTATGATCGCTTTTCACTGACATATTGATACCAGCCAGACACAAACATAGGTGTTTTGGAAAGCCATAGAAGCAAGTCTGACAGAGGTGGCTGAAATATTAAATTACTAACAGGTTTTTCTTAATGCAACGCAGGTGCGATTGATGATGATCTCGCCACTGTTACTACATGAGATTGCGGCAATCTCATTTAGTCAAACTGGGTGGCATCGCAGTTCAATCTGGGGAAACTAGGATATGATCATAGCTTAACGTGACATTTTGCAGTCAGGGATCCTATCTGAGAACACGAAAGATCGACTACATGCAAAAATTATGGATTCTGTTTTCCCCAGCCTCTCAACCAAGATTATAACAAGCTTGATATCAAGTGCAAACTAAGGAAGCTACTTCAACTGAATCACGCTCAGCTGTCTACCACCAAACATCGCTGCATCGCTGCACATAACGTTTCTGAAAAACTGCTAAAAAAATTTCGGGTTAAGAACACAAAAATTGTTTTCCCATTCAAAGAACAAGCAAGCATCCCCACACTGCTATACCCACTCAATTTGTGCACCTGAAAACCTGAATCACTGTCTGCATCCTAAATAAATAGGTATCACGTATCCACATATTTTGACTCCTCTATATTCCAATCGAATTCGTTACACATAAGCAAAGGATAAGGTAATAATGTTGTTGCTGATATGCGTTTATCTTGTAATTATTTACCAGGCCCAAACCCTTTGCTCGGAACTTCAAGTCAGCAACAGTGCGAGCTAGCTTAAATTTCGCTTTATATGTGGTCCGTGGTGGGTCAAATGGTCTTCATTTCGTCGCGGTCAATGCCCTGAAGGTTCATACATTACCCATACCCTTATCAGATATCACAGCGTTTTAATGGCGTGGCTATGTGTAGCATCTCCTGCCATGTGCGTGGTGCGTGGATATGTGTAACATGTCCTACCATGTGCGTGATGCGTGGCTGTATGTAGCATCCCCTGCCACGTGCGTTGTGCGTGGCTGTGTGTAGAATCTCCTGCCATGTGTGTGGTGCGTGTCTCTGGATTTAGTCATGCAAGGACCCGTAGAACTCACTCTCGAGCTTGGGTAATCATTCCATATTTCCCAAATCTGCACGTAAATTGTATGATGCATATGACCTGTATCCCTTTAAATTTTTGTACCCATGTTAGTCATCTGCCAGAGTTTTCAGTGATGGCGCAAGCTGCTCCGAGGCTTTCCAAACATCCCTTTAAAAGACATCAATGGACCGACGCTAGGTGAGGTGGGCCATTCACAGCCGCGCACTCAAATCATTGCCGCGTATGACAAGAGTTAGCAACGACTTCTACAGATTTTAAAAATGGAAACCCTTGCAGGAAAGAGGGAGACGCTGTGCTTACGGTTTGGACAACAAATCCTAATATCTCTAGAGCGTAGAGACATGCTGCAACCAACCAGATAGGTGATCTCGTTAAGGAACACTCGATATGGTGACACGTTGCAGACATTTTGCTGCGGTACAAGGCTACGAAAATCAAGCGTGCCATATGTCACAGCTCTTATAAATCTAGATATCATTGGATCTATGTGGTTGATGGGGGAGCCCTCCATCACACTCGCTACTGCATTTGTAAAGGCGTTCAATGAATGTTAAAAGGTTGCCCTATGCTTACGTGCAATGCTGATCTGCGTGCTATATGAATTGGTACTGGAAGCGGTGTTTTTTAAAATATACCGTCTCTTCTCTCTCTCTCTCTCTCTCTCTCTCTCTCTCTCATCTCTCCTCCTC